GGGTGGGGTTAAGGGGGGCGGAGAAGGGGTTGACTAAAACCCCCCCCTCCTTTTTTTTTTTTTTTTTTTTTTTTTTTTCTGAACTGCTTTCTCAGGCAGGAGAAACCTGAGCTGCAGCTGAGGACTGCTGCCTGCAGACATGATCTATTTATGCACAAATAATGGCCTCGATCAAGAAAGGTTAAAGTAAGAAGCTGACGGGCTGCATCTCTTCACACGGACTGGGAACAACTCCATGCGAAACGTGACTGAGCCGACTCGGTTTAGTTTGAACTCCTCTTTACTTGTTTGTTGTTTCACCACTGAGGAAGTGCCTGCACTCAGAGCTCATTAAAGTGATTTCCTCCTGTTTAGCAGTAATGACATGTTCTTCCGAGGCTTGCAGGGCGGAGGCCCAGAATCGCAACACCAGGAATAAATTGGAATGTGCTTGGAATATCGTGTGGATTAAAAAGTGTTTCCAAGCTTTGTAAAGTTTTCAAGTCGGCTGTCTGAGTGTAGCCACGCGTTTTCTGGAGCTAGGATTAAAATGTCTTGGTCCTCAGTGGGAACTTTAGGTGTAACAGTGATAGAAGATTGAGATATGTAGGTTCACACAGTGATAGAAGTATTACTAATGTATGAAAAAAAACAAATTAAGAATAATATTCTGTAGAGTAAGGTCAAAATGACACCCTAAAATACTGAGTAGTTTTGAAAATGGCGGACTCCAATCCAAAGGAATGTGCAACAGAGTGGGATCATTTCTTTAAAATGTGTGTGTATATTTTTTGTGCTGTTAAAAGCAACTCAAGCAGCATGTTTATTATGTTTTTAATAATTAGTGTTACAGTTAAATTATTCATACAGATTAATTTCTTACGGATTTTTTATTTTTTTTTACATTTTTGGCACTTTTGTTCCTCTATATGCAAATTATGCTCTCAGATAATTAACCAAATCCTGCATTGAAAATTAAAACTGAAATACCAAGGGTTAATATTTAACCACTACAGTGTCTCACATTTTAACTAAATCATTACATGTGAAATTTCTTAATTATGTATATTCAGTCACATAATTATCAGGTGCAAATAAAAAATTGTGAACGTATTGATTTATAATGCATATCATTGTTTTGCTTGTCAGTAATTTAAGTTATTAAACATTCATAGTATTTATAACTTCTGTTAAGTACAATTTAAATTTTTTTTCTTCAATTATTTGACATTGTTATCTTCTTGGTGCTTTATTTTAATTTAGCTCACTTTTCAAACAATGCTTCAATTCCTGAACCAAAGTAGTGAAACAGAAATGCAGTGGGCTCATGTTTGGGAAGGTACTGAATCTTAAATGTCCTTGTTTTCTCCTGCAGTCTTGCGACAGCTGAACTCTTCCATCGCCGTCACCAGCCTCACGTCGGGTCAGTGTCGCCTGGCTCCGCTCATCCAGGTCGTCCAGGACTGCAGCCAGCTCTACCACTTTAACGTCAAGCTGCTTTTCAAGCTGCATGCCTGTAAGAACGCCGACTGCTCTGGAAAAATACACGCAGTCGATCTGTATGTGCGCCTAAAAACCTGCATCATGATTCCAGGTCTGCCTGCTGATACCCTACAAGGACACCGTGACCGTTTCCGTGAGCAATTCAACAGGTCAGTGAACGCATCAAGGTTTTTTGTCTTTTCTTTATTCAGTGGCCATCTGTAGCATAACGTTGCTCCACCCAGTTACAATTAAACACACTGAACTCTACTTTCAGTAAATAAAAGTTTGATAAACCAGCACCAGGTTGAGTGTAATTGTGAAGTTGAGGGAGAATGAAACATGGATTTAAAAATTTGGAAAGTTTTCGTGTGCAGTTGTACTCTGCCCCCTGTAGTCTGATGCTTCCAAATAAAATCCAGTCTGTATTATTATTTTCAGAAAGTTTGTGAAACTCCAGTAAAATGCATTGTGAGGTTGTGATGTGGCTAAATCTATATGAAAATAAAAGAATAGTTTTGCAATGGACCACATCCCACACATTGTGTGTTTGTATCAGACTAAATGTATTTTTGTGGCGTTGCTCTTTGTCAGATTGTGCAGATTTGTTCATATTTAACTTGGGAATATGTTTTACCCCATGCAATAACAGAAAAGAACTAGAAATTAAATTGTTGATGGATAATACTGTGCGTAATGTATTTGTGCATTGTTTGTTTTTGTCTACACAGCCTGAAGAACTTCTTTAACAGAGCTAGAGAGATGGTGTATTTCAAGAGGCTGATCCAGATTCCCCGGCTGCCTGATGTAAGAGAGGAAAAATGGCTGCACTTCTGCTGAGTCACAGTGACATTTTGGGTGTTACAGACTTCGCTGCAAGTCACCTGCTGGTTCTGTGCTGCCCATGCCGTCGTCATTTAAATGAATGCGTTTTCTTCCAGTCTCCACCCAACTTCCTGCATGCAGCAGCGCTGGCCAAACACGTGAAGCTGGTGGTTGTCATCCCCGAGGACGATGATCAGCAAGACGACGATGACGATGAGCCAGAGCCGCTCATCGAGGTCGATACCTCGACCCCCAGCCTGCAGTCTCAGCCTCAGGTGTGTTTCACTAGTCACAGGGGTACGGATGTACGCAGTGTGCTACCTGCTGTCTAAACGTTTTGGTGTTTGTGTTTTATTCAACAGGTGGACATTTTTGATCAGGCGTTTGGACCTCCAAATGGAGGCTTTGATGAGAGGTGAGCTTTTAATTTTTGAACTGATGGTTATGATTTTAATCCCAGCAGAGTGTGACTGGTAGTGGTTTCTGTCTGGCAGGGATCTCCAGATCGAAAGCCTGAAGTCAGAACTTGAGCTGCTAAGAGCAGAGCTGGAGAAAGTCAAAACGGAGGTGAGGATTCTAGAATACCATAATGCTTCAGTGTAGGAATTTATTTTTTCTCTGTGCGTGACTGCAAAAAGGCACAATTATCTACGTGCAAAGGAATCCGGATCATGTGTTTTCCTGGATGCAAATGCCAAATGCCACACCTGACATGAAGAATGTGGCGAGCAGACTCTGAATGTCAGCTGACCGAAGTTGCCTTGTGATGAATTGTTGATGTGTAAAGATTGATTCTGTTTATATTATAATACCTTGCAAAAGTATTCACACCCCTTGAACATTTTCACATTTTGCTGCAGTGCAACCACAAACTGAAATGAGCTTTTGTGTTTGTGTGTGTGTGGGGGGGAGAGGGGTATATGGAAGGCAAAATGGAAAGAAAATGATGCATTGTTTTTTTTTTTTTTTTTTTTTTTTTTTTTTTTAAAAAAAAAAAATTTTATGGTTTTTCTTTAAATATGAAAGCCTCAAAGGGTTTTTTTAAAAAAACT